ATTTTTAACAGGCCAAAACTCAACAGGGGAAGTTGCTTCTGCGTTGCTCAATTTCTGTGCGGGGGGGGAAGGTGGATGGGGAGAGAGAGTCTAATTTCTGCTTCTCCTGCTGAGCTCACAGGAAGCTTGCAGTGACAAAAGGATGAGAAAACCCACCCTCTTATGAATGGCTAATAAACAGAAATTCCTTTTTTTCCCCCCAAGTTGTTCTTCTCTTGTTTTGGCAAGAGATTTGGGAAAAGACTGAGGTTCTGTGTAATAGCCTTTTCTGACGAGTTAGTTTCAAAATTCCAAACAGAGTGATCAGTTTTAGATGCACCGGGAAGGGAAAGATGAACATAAGCATATACAGTATTTGGCCTCGTGCGTCTTTTTTTTTTCTGCTCAAAAATCTCACTTCTCTTATTTGCCTCTCTTTTTTTCCAGAAAGTGGAAGGCGTCTATACGGTAAGCATTGCCCCTTTTGGTCTGCAGATAAAATTGACCGCTGAAGGCACTGTAACGTGGCCCATTTGGGATTACGTGGATTTTTCATTTGCAAAATTTCAAAATTGCTGGGGGCAGCTGGTTTTGCTATTGAAAATGCTTAGATGTGTCCGAAACCCACTTCCTACAACATTTTATGAATTCTCCCGGCATCCGTGTGAGCCAATAAATATTTCAGGCAGAAATCAGCAATCTTCCCTACTGGGGCCAAATTGTAGATTATAGGCAGTGTCTTATTTGAATCTGAAACCTAGGAGACTTCCAGAGACATCAATCCTACCTACCTTTGTGACGGAACCGTCAGACATGCAAATGAAGCCTGTGCTTACTTCCCAATGACCAATCACAAATCAGCAACAGGCCAGTTATGCAAACTGCAGGAGGCGGGGGGAAACGCCGTGACGACCACGGCATTTTAAGCGCGCCTTCAAATGCAGAGTCTTTGTAATTTATAACAGTAGGAGCCCCTTATCCACTGATTTACTTATCTGAAAACATGGAAAGAAAAATCTCAACAAATACATATATTTTAATGACGAAGTCTGCAGAAACGGCCATTCAAGGGCGCCAGAGTCCAATGCTATGGATAGTGTTCGCTAGCGAAATATATTTCTTGATGTCATTAACAAAACTGGCCACTAGGGGATGCCAGAAACCATGCCATGCAAGGTTGACTTGGAATTGGTCTCCCATGGGCGGTCCTAATGTCGTTTCTTCTCTGTTTTTAATATGAAATATTAATTTATCTTTGTTATTATGATTTCCCCTTTTTTTTCTTCCTGCCTGTAGGGCCTTAAAATGCGTGAGGCTGACGAATACATGCCCCTCGAGCTTCGAAAACAGATTCCAACAGAACAGCCCCCCGAACAAGGCTCATTGGTGGGGTAGCTGTTTTCTCTGGAGCAGTGAGTTGAAATTGCATGACTCTACTTTAGATGCCAGTAACCAGAGGAAAAAAGAACCCCCCCCCCTTTTTCCCAGCTTTGGGAACAAGGACTCCATCTTCTTGGCAAATCAGCTGAATGGATTTGGATGGCACTTCTGTAAATCTCGTATGTATGATATAAGCTTCCTTCTAACCCCTAGCAGAATAGCTAGGGTGAGAGAGAAGGTAGCTCCAGACATGTATGAATCTCTTTTTTAATCAGAGTTTTGAAAAACTTGCTTTTCCAGGTACGTCCTCCCCCAAAAGATTCTGGACCTGTATTCAAAAAATCAACATTTTTCAAACCCTCTTTTTAACACTGTCATCCCTGCTCTGATGTTTTATTATATCATTTCGTATTGTATCTTACTACTTCTTTTTAAAATAAATAAATAAATAAAATGCAGGAACTTCTTGGCCTGCCAAGTAAACCTCAGTTGATAAACCCATTCGCACCGGGATGTTTTCATGGTTGGAGTGCTGGGTTCGAGTTTCCCCACTGGGTCATGAAATGCCCTGGGAGATGTGGGCTGATAATTAGTTACACAACCTGGCCTACCTCACAGGGTTGTTGTAAGGTAAAATGAGGACTGGGAGCACCATATATATACTATTCTGCTATTATTTTTCTCGAATACTGAGCCTGATATAAAGCAGTAACTCAGGGGACAGATATGCACAAAGGAATAGACTGTATCTGAGCAAGTGCAGAGTCCCGGTGGCCTCAGAACAGATTCAGGACCATGGATAGCTACTGGGAAATATAAAACTAAAAAACAAACAAACCCAAGGCTCAATTTGGATCGTAATGCGTCCAGAAAACGCGAACAGTGTAACTGAGGCTGGGATGTCACAGAAAGCTGTCTGCGGGGGATGCAAACTTTTCCGTACTGCGTCCGGCACCTAAATAGTGGTCATTGTTCGCACAGAAATGTGAGGAAGCGCTGCCTTCTGCCTCCAGAGATGCCACCCATGCTGCGGTGGGTACGCACAAACAGGACCATATAAAAAGCCCCAATAAGATCTCAGGATGCTCGCTGGATGCACACTGCGAGGGAGGTTCTCATAGGTCATCAGGAAATCAAATAGAAATGAGGGGGGTCTCCTCAATCTGGAACTCGCTGTACACTGCAACATTTTGTTGCAGGTTTTGCTAGCATAAGCCTAGGGCAGCCTCAGGTGTTGTATGATGGAGGGCGTGTTGCCACAACGAGATGGCGTTATCCACATGCACAAGTTTTGCCAGTGCAGATTTCCAGATGTGACAGAATTCTTCAGATGAATAAACACCAGGGGCAAAAAAAAGTTTCCAAAAGGCCGTAGCAAGGGGAGGGGAGCATGTCCAACCATCCACCGTTGGTGGGATCAAAAGCCATCGAACGCCCTTCCAAACACAGGAAAGAAAGGCCCATAGGATGATATTGAAGCGATCTATCATGAGAGAGAAGAGGAGGAAAAATTAAATTCCGCTACGAACGGAACGCAGCAACGAAACAGCCATTTCTGATCCTTGGCACACTACACCGAACCGTGTCTGTTTGTGGGGAAATGGCTTTTTGAGCGGCAGGGTGGTATGTTCAGGCTCGCCGTTCAAACCAAGGCTCGGCCGACCACAAAATAAATATTGAGGGTTTTCCGTTTCCACTGGAGCACCCACACACACCCCTCGGGTACGGCCGTAATAATACACAGAACCTGTGCTTTCCAGTGTGAAAAATGCAGTGATAAAATCAATGCCTTTCCTTGGCGTAAATTTATCTGATGTTAATCGGGCCTACATGCATTTTCTCTTGTCTGTCCCAATAAGAAATAAGGGCAGGAAAGCTGCATGTTGGCGGTAAGAGAAAAAAAACCCAAAGCCAACGGGATGACTCAAAAGTGGCTCATTTCCTGCAGGTTCAAGGCCTGGGTTTATTTTTGTCCTGGCGTCCTTTGCAATTCTTGAAGGAAGGAAGTTGCGTCGAACACAGAACAGCATAAATCCTATCCTTGTTGACATGGACATAAAAACCCGCTGATTCACAGACAAGATGCAGGAGGTGACAAGAGTGGAAAAAGATATTTACAATGAACGAGGCATTGTATATTTCTCCCTGTTTTACTCGCTAGCATCCTTGTAGGTTAAAGCCAGCGCTTGGCAATGTCACCTTTAAAAAAACCCCTACAAAACCCAGCATCTCCAAGCCAGCCATGAACTGATAGGGTTTGTAGTCCAAACCCAAAAAGCTATGGTTAAAATTAGGAAGCGAAAAGGAGAACTGAGTGCCAATCGGCTTCTCCAACAAGAGCAGAGAAAAGTGAAGAGGGATGTTCATGTTTCCGGCTCATATTTTATCTCACGTGGAGTATCTGCATTTTGAAGAGGCGTCTCTTTCTGAAATATTTAGAAATATTGTCCCACCAATACAAGTCCGCAGGCAAATACAGTTTATTTATGGGTTGCAGAGATTTTGGGTTTTGGTTTAATTTCTTTAGCTGTGCAGCAGAAGTGCAAGGATTCACGGAGCCAGCACGGCTTCAAGTTCCCTTTTCTCATTAACTGGCACTTACAGTCTCTGTAACTCGCTCAGAGATACTAGTAGGAGAAAGGAGAAAAGGTTTCGTGACTCGCTGTTGAACAGATCAAACAGCAAATGCAGAAGCATGACTGCTTTCAACAACAGACCTCAACAGATTCAAGAGAGGGTGAAACATTGAGCAGGGAGGCGGGGCTCTCTTGGAAGTCAGAGGGAGGAAGGAAATGATTGGTTCCTGCTGGATTGATTGACACTCGAGAAAGGTCCCTCCCAGCCAAACTTGCTAAAAGCAGCCTGCGAGGTTGCAAAAACTCCAACATTTAGCCCCATAGTGTGCGGTGAGCTGAACCCGACAGGAGGGGCAAACACGAATTCTCAAAATAATCCTAATTCCTGACTGTTCTCAGCATTTAGCCCCAAAGTGTATGGTGAGCTGAACCTGACAGGAGGGGCAAACACGAAATCTCAAAATAATCCTAATTCCTGACTGTTCTGACCATCGAGTCTGGGTTTAACTCTTAGCTTCAACATCTACCTAGGGAGATTTTTAAAATACACACTCTCCCCCCCCACACACACACAGACACACAATTTGGGCTATTTCTTGTCTAACCCACCCTTCCCAGCCAGGAAAGACGCAGACTGATGAGGGTTTGTGGAGCTTGCTCATTTTTTTCAGATTTTTTCTTAGCCCTCCAATAAAGACAATTACCCACCCCTGTTTTTTTTTAATGTTCTCTCTACTAATGATGATGATGATGATGATGATGATGATGATGATGATGATGAGAGTGGGGTTCTGACCGTCCCCAAGTTAAAACCCCTTCCTTTCCTATCTGAAGAAGAGGAAGAAAGCAGATCAAGCCGACGGAACCCGGAAGTTGTGTCCAAGTGTGTCATGCTATATTTTTAGTCAATCTGCGGTTCTCCCCCTCTTCCGCCGGGGCCGGAACTGGCTGCCGTCGCTACGACAACGACCGGAAGTGGCGTTGAGGCCGCTCGGCGGCGCTGCAGGGGCGGAAGTGACGTGTTTTGTGGTGGGGGAAGGAAGTTTCTCAGCGAAGAAGGCGGCGGCGGCCTGAGGCGGGTCGTGCGAGCCATGTCAACGGGCAGCGCGGGGCCACGCGAGTCCGGGGCTTCCGGAGGG